ATTGATATTGTCTTTTTTGGTTATTATAAACATTTTAATTGGAATCAAAATGTGGAGCAGATCATTGTTGGGTAATTACAATATTTTGTTTTTCATAATCAATAATATTAATAATATATTACTATATAATTACAAGAAGATGTCAAGGCAGCACACCATTGAAAAAGAGACATTTCGAATATGCAATGTTTGATTATCGGAAATTTACAGGCGTTGAAGCACACACACTGCCTTGAGCACATTACAGTCATTCTCACGTATTCCTCGTGTACATAAGGCTAATCTGACTACAGTGCAGAATGATGTTGAATTCCAGGGGGGGAAGGCCCTGGAGTTTACTGAGACTGCATCAATCGTCAAGGACGCTTTCACTAATCTTCCCATACCAGAGATGGCTGCTGGCATGCTAGCTGAAGAGTTGCCTGCAATGATCTTACCTCTAGGGCAAGGATGGCTCTGTGACCAAGTCACAACTCTGCTGATGAATATTAAAAGAATCTGCAATTCGTTCCAAGCACAGGAGGTCACAATTCAGAGCAGGGTTGGTGCCCTGAAATTGCATTTGGACCTTGATGTTAAGAGGAAAGTTGTAAAATAGTGTTTGTTTTGTATAATCATTATTTTCATAAATGCTCTGTTTTTTTGATATTAACCAATTTATGATTTTGGGTAGGGGACTGGATGAGGTTTTTGCTCAACCAGTCCTCTGTCCTGTAGGTTAAAATTATCACATGATTATATACATCTTTGTCAGCAATATGGCCAACAAGAAAAAGAAAAAAGTTATAAAATAGTTCGGATTTTGTTTGGTATGTTATAAATTAATGATTTTCATATTTCTGTTTCTCTTTAATTTTATCTGACCAACTGAACTTGTTATTTTAGTAAATGGCAGTAGGGTTGTTGGATATTAAAGCTATTTTGAGAATTTATTTTAAGAAGTTACCAAGTATACAGAAATATCAACATTTTCTTTTTGAAGCAACTAATCTTGGTATGGTCAAAGTTCAAGAAGTTGCTAATGGACCTTTTACTGAATTCAATTTATTGAAAACCAAGAAAGCAGATATTTTTGAAGAGATTAAAGCTTTATCTATTTTAGTGTTAACACCTCTTCCTTTGGATTACAAAAGGCAAGAATATATTTATCATAATATTTGCCCATTTATAAGGGATGAATTTAAAAATATTACTTGCCCAAGACCATTCTATACTGGCAACAAATAAAATATTAATCTTTTGACAAATATTGTTAGCTTTTTCCACCTTTAAAGCAAAAAAGTACTAAAATAATTTATATACTTAATATGCCCTCATAAAAAGGATATAAGTATATTAAAAGAATAAAAAAAAGCAAACCCATGGTAAACATTATAAACAAACAACAACAAGCAGATAAAGAATTGCTAAACAAAATTAAAGATTTAGAAAAGCAAATAATTGAAAAAGAAGAAAATCTTAAACTAAGAATTTGAAATGCAGTTGACAATGTTGCTAAAGAATATAAGGTTGAAACTTTATCATTCTTACAAAGATTTAAGTGACCTGAAAATGGATGAGTAAGTTATACTGAAAAGAGTTTAACTGAATTTGGAAGGGTAGTTTTCAGTGATGAATTCACTCCTGAGAATGTTATTGAAAGTTTTGCTAATAAAGCTTTTTATTTTAAAAATAATAAGGAAGCAGGAGAAAAAGTTGTTGAGTTAGAGAAAAGCAATCAAGAATATGAAGAAAAAATTCAACAGTTAGAAGCCAAACAAGAAGAATTGGAAATAAGAGTAGAAGAGTTAGAAGAAAGAGTAGATATTGAAGTTGAAATGAACTTGAAAGCACTAGACAAGTCCAAAGAATGACATGATAGAAGAGTTTTTGTAGGGAATATGAAAAGAGATTGTACTATTATTGAACAAAGAATAGAGAATGACCAATTGAAAAAGAAACTAGATGCTTATGAGAAAAAAGATAAAATAAAGCAAATTAAGTGATTGACAAAGAAAGCAAAAACAAAAGCTAGTGAAAGAATTCAAAAGCTCAAAGAGAAAGTTAATATGATTAAAGAAGATGTCAAGCAAAAGTTTAACACTTATATCTTACAAAGTAATTAGTTATGAAGAAATTAGAATATAGAATTCTTGAAAGAACAAAATTATCTGTCCCATATTGTAATTACTGTGTGATTAGTGATGAACCAGTTCTTGATAATGCTACTCATGAATTGGTGGCATACCATGAAGATGGTTCTACTGCAGATATTGGCTCTATTTGTGCTGATTGTAAAAAGATTTTGAAAACAATAATCTCTCTCATTGTGAGCTTTGTGGTAGACTACAAAGAAATAGGATGGGTTGTTATTGTAATCTATTGAAAGATGGGAAATTCAGAACACCTTCCACAAAAGATAGGACTTCCCAAACTATCGAATTTTGTTTAGCAAATAAAACCAAGAAACTTGAAAATGAATTGAATACTGCCAAGAAGGAGCTGAATATTGAAAGAGAAGAAGTAGCCAAATTTCAGGAAAAATCAGAAGAGTGAAGTAAAAAGCAAAAACAGGAGTTATTAGATAAGATAAAAAGTTTAGAAGAAAAATTTAATCATCTAGAAGAAGAAAACAGGAAATTAAAAGATCAACAGAATGGTCAATTAAGGGTAGGTTCCATGTGTAACACATATAAAGTAAATTATGCGGGATGTAGATCTTTACTATCCCTATTTTTGTTCACTAAACAATT